ACCCAAAAGTGGTATTCCTGGGTCTTGAGGAAGATTGTTTCCTAATTTTCTGAGAAATTGCCACACTGACATCCAAAGGGGCTGTACCAGCTTGCATTCCCACCAGCAATGCAGAAGTGTTCCTTCCTCCCCCTTCCCCTGCCCCCCCACAACCTCTCCAGCATAAATTGTCATCAGTGTTTTTGATCTTGGCCATTCTTTCAGGTGTAATATGGAATCTCAGTGTTGTTTTGATTTGCATTTCTCTGACAACTAAAGATGCTGAAAATTTCCTTAAGTGCCTTTTAGCCATTTTAGATTTCTCTGCTGAGAGTTCTCTGTTTAGGTCTGTACTCCATTTTTTTTTATTGGATTATGTGTTCTTTTGGTGACCAATTTCTTGAGTTCTTTATATATTTTGGAGATCAGACCTCTGGTTGATGTGGGGTTAGTGAAGATCTTTTCCCATTCTGTAGGCTGTCGTTTTGTCTTGTTGACCATGTCCTTTGCTTTACAGAAGCTTTTCAGTTTCAGGAGGTCCCATTTATTAATTGTTTCTCTCAGTGTCTGTGCTGTTGGGGTTATATTTAGGAAGTGGTCTCCTGTGCCAATGTGGTCTGTCACACTTTCTTTATCCATTCTTCTGTTGAGGGGCATCTAGGTTGTTTCCAGGTTTTGGCTATTACAAATTATGCTGCTATGAACATAGTTGAACAAATACTTTTGTAGTATGATTGAACATCTTTTGGGTATAATCCCAAGAGTGGTATTGCTGGATCCTGAGATAGGTTGACTCCCAATTTTCTGAGAAACTGCCACACTGATTTCCAAACTGGTTGAACAAGTTTGCATGTTCCTCTTTCTCAACATCCTCTCCAGTATAAGCTATCATTAGTGTTTTTAATTTTAGCCATTCTGACAGGTGTGAGATGGTATCTCAAAGTTGTTTTGATTTGCATTTCCCTGATAGATAAGGAAGTTGAACATCTCCTTAAGTATCTTTTGGCCATTTGAAATTCTTCTGTTGAGAATTCTCTGTTCAGTTCAGTACACCACTTTAAAATTGGGTTATTTAGTATTTTAATGTCTAATTTCTTGAGGAGTTTATATATTTTTGATATCAGTCCTTTGTCTGATGTGGAGTTGGTGAAGATCTTCTCCCACTCAGTAGGCTGCCTTTTTTGCCTTATTGTTGGTGTCATTTGCTTTACAGAAGCTTCTCAGTTTCAGGAGGTCCCATTTATTCATTGTTGCTCTTATTGCCTGTGCTACTGGGGTTATACTTAGGAAGTGGTCTCCTGTGCCCATGCATTGAAGGCTACTTCCCACTTTCTCCTCTATCAGGTTCAGTGTGGTCAGATTTATATTGAGGTCTTTAATCCATTTGGACTTGAGTTTTGTGCATGGTGATAGATATGGATCCATATCTATACATTATTCATTAAAATTTTTTTGAAACTAAAACATAATTATATCATTTCTCCCTTCCCTTTCTTCTTTGGAACTCCTCCCATGTACTTCCGTTTTTGCTCTCAAATTCATGTCTTCTTTTTCTTAATAGATATATAGATAATATATATTCTCAGTCATATGTAAAGGATTTCAGGGCCGACTGCTTGGTATTGGATTTGGGGGGCTCTTCCTAGGGGGACTATTTCTCCCGCTTGCAGCTTTTCTTACTTGCCTATAGTTTTCTGTCTAGGTTGGGGCTCTACGAGACTTCCCCCTCCTTGTTAGTGTGTCTATTGATGTTGTCCTTGTTCAGGTCTTGCTTAGGCAGCCATGTTGAGATTTAATAGTTATAGCTTCCCTGACACCTCTAGAAGATGCAGTCTCACAACAGATTGCCTGCTTCTCTGGGTCTGACGTTCTTTCCACCCCCTCTGCCTTTGTGTTCTTTGACCCTTGGTGCAGGAGCTGTGTTAGGGATGAAGCAGTTAGAGCTGAGTACTACATGATCACTTGGTCTTTGCATTTTGATGGGTTGTGGTCTCTGTCTCTTGCAAAAAGAAGAAGGTTCTTTGATGAGGGTGAGCTATCTGGCTGGACTCTGGCACAGGGTGTACTCATTTTTATTTTTGAGGCAGAGTCTCATGTGAGCCAGCCTTATCCTATACTCACTATGTAGCTCTGGCCTTGAATACTTGATCTTCCTGTCCCCTCCTCTCAAGTATTGGGATTACAAGCATGTGACACCATGCTTGGTCCATTTTTTCCTCATAAAGACATTATTCCCATGTTCTCATTTCATTTTGGGGTGGTGATAGTTTTTTTTGTGCTGTAACAGATAAAGTTGCCTGAAGATCAGAGTGTGGAGCTAAACCACACTAGTTAACCATAGAGGCCCTACAGTGGTGGCTCACACCTTTAATCCCAGCAGTAGGGAGGTGGAGACAGGAAAGGATATGGTAGGGCAGAGAGAGGAATATAAGGCAGAAGAGACAGGAGCTCAGGATTCAGTCTGATGTTTTGTAGAGACTGCATTCAGTCTGAGGACTTTGAGAGACAAGGTACCTCATTTGGTCTGAGGATTTCGTAGAGGTAAGAACTAGTTGCTGGCTGCTCTGTTTCTCTAATCTTTCAGCTTTCGCCCCCTAATATTTGACTCTGGGTTTTTATTATTAAGACCAATTAGAATTCATGCTACATTTTTGTCTGGATGCTGTTTGTCTTAATAAGCAAACTTTTCCTCCAATATTGCTCTCAGAATTTACTTTGGTGTCCTTCTCTACTGGGTCCTTTTAAAATTTTTATTTTATGTGTATGAGTGTTCTGCCTACATATATGTCTGTTACTGTATGCATGCCTGGTTCCAGCTGAGTCCAGAGCTGGCATTAGTTACAGAAGCTGAGTTACAGATGGCTGTGAGCCACCATGTGGGTGCTGGGAATCGATCTCATGTCCTCTGAAAGAGCAGCCAAATGCTCTTAACCATTGAGCCAGTTCTCTAGGTCCCTCTCTACTGGATCCTTTATTTCTTGGATCCCATGCTTTTTGTATTTTGTCTCCCTCTTTTTGGTTGGCTATCTTTCAGTAATTTCTTATGGTTGTGTGGTAAATAACTCCTCAAGAGTGGATTAATAGCATGATTAGGTATGAAATTATTTACTTTTAGACTTTTAAAACTATTTGTCTTTATTTTATGTATATGGGTGTTTTGTCTGCATGTGTCTGTGCCAATAGAAACTAGAATAAGGCATCAGAGTCCTGGACATCCCTGGAACTGGACTGATAGGAGGGTGTTGTGGGTGTTGGGAATGGACCTGTGTCCTCTGGAAGAGGAGTCCATGCTCTTATAACCACTGAGTCATCTCTTCAGCCCCACTGTTAGTTTTTTTTTGGTTTTTCGAGACAGGGTTTCTCTGTAGCTTTGGTTCCTGTCCTGGAACTAGCTCTTGTAGACCAGGCTGGCCTCGAACTCCCAGAGATCTGCCTGCCTCTGCCTCCCGAGTGCTGGGATTAAAGGCGTGCGCCGCCACCGCCTGGCTCCCCACTGTTAGATTTTTAAAAGTATTATTCCATTGTCTCTTGGCATCTGCTTCTTTATCATTCTGACTCCAAATCTTTTGTATTTGGACCATATTTTTCTCTTTGGAAGCTTTTGGGATTCGTGTCATTTATGACATTCCACAGTAATGTGATATCTTTTCGGCTGTTTTCTTTTTTACTTTTTTTTTTCATAAAGATGTAATATCTTGAGGTAGATTTTTTCCCCCTTCATTGTGCTAGGTTTTGCCCTCTGAATCTTTAAGTCTACATCTTTAGTTCTTCCTTAGTATGGTACCCAATACTATTCAATACCTGTTATACACATCTGGAAGCCAAACTATTAACCAATCAGTCTTTTAAATTGCTCTTACAAAGAGTAAACTTTAGCATTCTTCCCAACTGTTTGGGTCAAGTGGGAGTCATATACAGACTTTAAACCAGTGGTTCTCGGCCTTCCTAACGTTGCAACCCTTTAATACAGTTCCTCATGCTGTGGTGACCATGATTATAGCTGTAATTTTGCTACTGTTATGAGCTGTTTATGTAGGTATCTGGTATGCAATTCCAGTGAAATGGGTCACAATGCACGTGTTGAGAACCACTGCTTTAAACCATCCTGTCTCCATCCCTTCTCACACCTCAGATGGTAGAAGTTACAATACCTTTAACTTCTCAGCTTTGCCAGGGTTTTGGGTTTGTGGAGAAAACTGCTTTTGCCGCTAGACACATTATTCATGTCATAGCTCAAATATAATTCTCTTAAGTATCAGTACAAGTGGCCTTTGATATTTGTGGGTTCTGTATCCACAGATTCACCCAACTGTACATAAAAAAAATAACAGACAAAACAACTGTTTATAGAGACTAGAGCAATGGCTCCGCAGTTAAGAGCACTTGCTCTCCAGAAGGCTCAAGTTAGGTTCCCAGTACCCACCTTGACCAACTCACTACTGCCTAAGGGGATTTGACACCTTTTCCTGGCCTCATGTGTGTATGTATGTACACAAACACACAATTAATATTAAATAATTATTTAAAAATAAAATAAATATTTTAAAAAACAAACCCCTGAGCTGCAAGTGGTAGTGCATACCTTTAATCTCAGCCTGAGGCAGGCAGATCTCTGTGAGTTCAAGGACAGTCAGAGCTACTTAGTGAGACCCTGTTTTTTTTTTAAGCCTGCTTCTTTACCAACATGACTGCCATTATTCTCTAAACAATATAGTATAACAACAATTTACTTTGTATTGTGTATTGTAAGCATTCTAGAGATAATTAAAATACAGGGGAGGATATGACCAGGTTATATACAAATAATGTCATCAATTTATATAAGAGACAAGTATCTATGCCTTTTCATATCTGCAGAGGGTCCTGATAAATTCTGAGGTGACTGTAGCAAGCTAACTTTGCATATAGTTCCAGAGACCCAAGTTGACAGGGCCTCTGAAAAGGTTGCCATGGCAGTCAACTCTGCTAGCCATTCAGAATTCAAAGAACAAACAAACAAAAACACAGGAAGCGATGATGTGTTCAGGGCCTTTCAGGGCCATTTTATGGGCAGTCCTAAAGGCATGCATATCTACTCCCATTCTGTCCCCTAGAACTCAGTCACATGGCTCTGCTGTGGAAGGTTAACTGCTCAAGATGGAGGGAACGAGTATATAAGCCTCTGTCAGCCCTTGCTGCTCCTGTGCTCTGTGAAGTAAGATAGTGTGTGGCACTCAAATTTTCTTAGTCCAAGCTAGTTAATCTGTTTTCTTTTTCTCTTACTATTTTTTTGTTTGTTCTTGTGGGATTTTGGCTTTTCTTTTTTCTTTCTTTTTTTTTTTTTAAATTTATTGCTAGGAAAATTTTGGTTGGGAGCAAGGAAAATGTCAGCTATGTAGCTTCCTAAAATGTGTAGGCCTGGGGTTGGAGGGGCGACTGAATGGTTCAGTGAATGGACTGTCCTTGCAGAAGACCGGGTTGAATATTTTCAGCACCCACATGGTGGTTCACAACCATCTGTCACTCTAGTTTCAGAGGATTTAATATCTTTTGCTAGCCTCTGAGGGTACCAGGTATGCACAGTGTCCACATATACACATGCAGGCAAAATACCCAAACACATAAAAATGAACAAAGAAGTAAAACTTAAAAATATGTAGACATGGAGCTGGAGAGATGGCTCAGTGGTTAAGAGCACTGGCTGCTCTTTCAGAAGACCAGCACCCGTATGGCAGCTCATCACTGCCTGTAACTTCAGTTTGAGGGAGTCTGACAACTTCACACAGACACACATGCTGGCAAAACAGAAATACACATGGAATAAAAATCAATAAATTGTAAAAATATATGTAGACATAATAAAATGATGTGTCTGAGTTGAATGTGGGTTAGTTGGCTTCTACAAATCTGCTGGGGAAATTTATCATATATATTTCTTATGTCTTGCTCTCTTATTTTTATTATTTCATTGGTTGAACTTTTTCTATTAGATTAAGAACTGAAACCATATTTATGAGCCATATTATATTTGACTTTAAAAAAACTGATAGGTCAGGAATCGGTGGTGCACGCCTTTAACCCCAGTACTTGTCAGGCAAAGGCAGGCAGATCTCTGAATTTGAGGCCAGCTTGATTTACATAGTGAGTTCCAAGACAGCCAAGACTACACAGAGAAACACTGCCTCTAGAAGAAAAAAAAAAAAAAGGATCCACTGTATGCTTTTGAGTTTTGTGGAGATGTCTTCTTCCAGGGTCTAAGAATGTTGAGTGTGCTCCTCAGCTTACAGAGGAAGGATCCAGGAGAAGGAGAGGAAATACAGAAGAATGCGACACCAGGCGTGAATTCAGAGTGATCATGCTTAGGCTTCTCTAAGTGTGTTCAGCACGACAGTGTAGAGCGAACAGGCTTTGATCAGGTGGCCCTGAAAGCCCTATCTGCAAATTCAGACTGTCTGGGTCGGTCCTTCTAAGTGGGACTTTGAGAAATCACCACCCTGCTTTAGGATGGCTTCAGATTGTCTGGGTCGGTCCTGCTAAGTGGGGAGAAATCACCACCCTGCTTTACTATGGCTTGAGCTAGGATCCATCTTATTATCGAAAGAGAAGAAAATGAGGAGTTTCTTTCTATTGAGGAGCAAAGCGTTCTCTCAGTATTGCATCACAAAATCTGATGGAGTTAGCACTTCTCCAGCCACCCTTATCAAGCTAGGAAACAAGCTTTTCCTTCGTCGGTGCTTCGACCTCCCCTTTCCTCAAGGATACTAAATTATAACTTGCTTTGCCAAGAATCAGGGTATTTTGGGAATCTATTTCTTCTCCTCACTAGAGATTAGTGAGTCACAGCTCTGACTCCCTTGTTTTGAAATCTGCGAGGTAGCTTATAATAAAGCCTTCCCCTCTGCTATCCCCTTCCCCAGGACCTTCTGGGATCTAGACTTCTAAGAGAAGCTTCTTACTCCTTGAATCAGAGGAGGAATGTGCTTGCTTAGAATAGGGATTAAGTGCTATCCTTTGAGAGTTTTGAAACATTATTATTGTAAAGTGGGCACAAGATACATGTGTATAGAAAATGTCTCAGGTCAAATGACTTAACCTATGATAAAGAGGAAAAAAGTAGCGTTCTAAGTGGGCTGGAGGCCACTTTGAGCAGGAATAGAGGATCGCTGTCTAGAAACTATCAAGTTCTGCTGAAGTGCAGACCTGTCATCTGTTCCTAGCATTTGCTCCTGACACACAAGTAAAGGATGTTAAGTTCTCTTCTCAGTCAGTGTCTGTTTCTACTTTTGTTCACTAAACTTAGTGGTAGAGTGTTTGACTGGTATGTAAATATAGCATACTCTAGGTTAAATCCTCCAACTGTGGGAAAGAGAAGGTAGAGGGACAGAAGACAGGAAAGAGGAGGAGGAGAGGAGAAAAGTGGATAAATGAATAACAGGGGAGGCCAAGTATTTTCCAGGCTGCAGGTTGTCAGGATGGTTCCTGTGGAGTTTGCCTGGTTCCAAAATGTGTATGCTAAGAAGTTTACTCAGCCATCAATTACTGTCTTCCTGTTCCATCAGCCAAGCTCGTAACTCCACCTTCAGAAGAGCCAGGGCCACAAGGCACCTGCAAAGTAGATATGAAAAGTAAGACTAAATGGGGTGACATTTAACATAGCAGTGAGCAGAGCTTCTGCGTTCCCATGCCAATGAGCTGCCCTTTCTATATAAGGCACCGACTTACAGTTGTTCAGGAAAATACAGAGATCACTTATTCTAGAATAAAGCTTCTATGTCCTGACTTGCCCTTGTATAGAGAGGAAGGCAGAAGTCCACATCACCAGGGCTCTTCAGTTCTCTTAAGCCATAGTTGGTCCCTATCTCCCTGTATTAGTTACTTCTCTATTACTGTGATAAAACCCCATGACCAAGGCAGTTTATTGAAGGAAGGGTTTATCTGAACTTACGGTTCCAGAGGATTGAGTCCATCACCATCACAGTGGGGAAGCGTGGTTACAGGCAGGCATGGTGATTGCAGCTGGAAGCTGAGAGCTGGAAGCTCACATCTGCAGCCACAAACAGGAAGCAAAGAGGACACCGTGGAATTATCGCAGGGCTTTGAAAACTTCAAAGCCTTCCCCAGTGATATACTTCCTCCCATAAGACCATACCTCCTGGAGGTAGGAACGGAAGCACAGGCCATGGGTGAATTCTGTTTAAAGGCTTGCTCTTATGGCTTGCTCCTCATGGCTTGTTCAGCCTGCTTTCTTGTAGACCCCAGGATCACCTTCCGAGGCACAGCACTACTTGCAGTGGGCCGGGCCCTTCCACATCAATTGTTAGTCAAGAAAATGTACCCCAAGCTTTCCTATGGCCAACCTGATGGGAACACTTTCTCAACTGAGGAGTCATCTTCTCAGATAACCTGAGCTTGTATCAGGTTGAGAAAAAACTAAGAAGCACACTCCGGAGTCTATTACATGTTGGTTTATAGCAGCTACCCTGACAATACCAGTGACATCCTCACTGGAGGGAAGACTATGAGGCAAAGCTGGAGCTGTTATGTGAGCTTCCTCATCACGTCTGTGGAACCGGGGTAGAGGTGGGGGTGTTGGGAGAGGAGGGAGTGGCCTGGCAGTAAGAAGATTCTGCTTTCTGTCCCTCAAGCAACCTCATAACATTCTGCAGAGGCGCCTCATGGAAACCAACCTGTCCAAGCTCCGGAGCAGTCGTGTCCCTTGGGCCTCCAAGACCAACAAATTCAATCAGTCAAAGTCTGAAGGGCTAAAGAAGTGTGAAGATGATGACATGATTTTAGTGTCCTGCCAGGTAATGTTCAGGGAAGTTTCTAGAAAGTAGTATTTGGGGGCCCTTTCTAATCCCAACAGGAGGTCCTCTCCTCAAAACTTTATAGATAGTGGGTCTTAGCGTAGAATTAATAAATGAGTTTTAAAGTTCTATATATTAGAAGTGCATGTAATATTTTATATATGTGCATATTTGAATGAGAAGAGATACCAAAGCTTTTTTTTCAGTTTTACAAAAGGATGTGTGATCTTTTTAAAGAGCTGGGGTGTAGTTCAGAGGTAGTAAACTCATCTAGCATGCTCAAGGCCCTCTATTTGACCCCCAGAATAATTATTTTTAAAAGATTGTGTATGTAATATTTAGTATACAGAATGAAACCCCAAAAGTTCCTTATGGGTATTCGATCAGCCTTAGTTAGCAGGAAAAACATCCGAAGACAGAGTTATCAGCGAGAGAAAATGGGACAGCACTGACTGATCAGTTGGAAGGTGGCTCTCAGACCGTGCCTTGCATTTGACATTTGCTGCTTCTTTCCTCTTTGGCTTCTCTGGATCCTATTAAAGTGCACATTTCCTTCCCACAGTGTGCAGGAAAGGACATGAAAGCGTTGGTTGACACCGGCTGTCAGTATAATCTCATTTCTTCGGCCTGTGTGGACAGATTGGGGTAAGCAGCCACTGTGCTGGGTGCACATCAGATGTAATTATATTCCTTGTTTGACTCTGGTTTAAGGTTATAGATGCTTGAATATAATCCATAGAAGCACAGAGATACATGCAAAGTTTTTAATCTAGGCAGTTGTCAGACAGCTGAAGAGATCCAGGACACTTTGGGCCTTCTGCAAACTCCTGCTTTCTACATCTTGAGCAGACTTTAGACTGTGGGTGGGAGAGAGAAATCCCAGGGCTATCCCTCTCCTGGGCGGAGAAAGCTGTTCTGTCTTACTGCCATTTCACTCAACCTTTCCTGTTACCTCTCTCCTTCTTCCTACCATGTCTTCTAAAATACCATATGGCCCCTGAGGTATCTAGCCTAAAATGAGCAGAATCAACCTAGTATTGTTTTCCATATTTCCCTGTAGACAGTAAATCAAATCAGATTTACTCAGACCAAATCTCTGCGATTAAACAGTTATTGAGACAGACCAAGTGGCCTATTTTGAATTTCATCCAAGACACGAATATTCTCAAGTGGGCGTACTCAGGGCTTCATCTGGATTCTTAATGATTGCATTACATATCTTCTACATCCGCCTTGTTCTTAGTCCCCCTCACTGCTGTGACTCCCTGAAGTTGGCTCTGTGAAGTTTGCACATTACTGTTTAGGGTTGGGGTAAAGAAGATTCCAGGACTCAAGTGGGAAGAATCTTATTTTTTTAATGTGGTAAAGAGATGAGGTATGTACAATATGATGGTTCCAGAAAGACTAATAATGTCCTGGTGCCAATTAGGCAGCAGACTGCCAGGATTCTGGAGGAACTAATAGCCGTCTGTAAAACTGCAATTACTTCTCTTTTGGATGGGCTGAAACACCAAAAGAGAGGAAATGGAGGAGAGCAGAAGTATTGGCACAGAAGGTCCACAATTAAGCATTTATCCACCAACCATAATAGCTTGGGTGCTAGCTAGTCCAATCAGCTTATGTAATTGTATGAGCCCGTGGTTCCATTCCTTTCTTTCCTTCCCTGCAAAGCCAAGTCAAATTAGTGAGAACTTTCTCCATAAATATTCTTTGATGATACCAATATCAATGCACTTACCAAATAAATGTCTGTCCCCATTAACCTTATAGCCTAAGACAATCTGGTAGGGATATACTAAAATAGAAAGGAGGGGGAAATAGGCCTTGAATGAAGCTTTTTTCTAAATTAGTATTAATCTGTCCTCTGATATTTGTTATCTACAGATGGGTAAAAGACACACTAATTAAACTATTTCGCACACATATGGGGAGGTTAGGATACAAGCAGAATTCTCTGAACGTGTCAGCTCCTCTCTTCACAAATGCAGGTAGTGATGTAAGCTTCTTAAAAATAGGAACCAAGTCTCGTGGTTTCTTTTGTATTTCTCTGGCATGTTTAGGAAGAAGGGCTGAAGCAAGCACAAGCTGGCTAGCCCAGGAAGTCCAGAGAGAGCCCCGATTGTGAATCAGAAGCCTTTGCCAAGGAGGTTGTGATATCTCTCTGTGTTTCAGACTAAAGGACCACGTCAAATCTCACAAGCATGAAGGAGAAAAACTTTCTCTACCACGGCATCTCAAAGTAGTAGGCCAGATTGAGCACCTACTGATTACAGTGGGCTCTCTCCGTCTGGACTGCCCAGCAGCTGTGGTTGGTGAGTTACTGGGGAGTAGACCTGTGGACATGAACCTTCCTGACTTCTTCAAAATTCGCGGTTCCTGTTTCCTTGCCCTGTGTACCTTTGTGCTAATTTTAGCCTGCCAAGTGCTGTAAGTGAAGTGCCACCACACCCAGCACGTTTTCTGTGTCTTTCTGAGACAGGGTCTCTCTATATAGTCCTGTCTCCCGCCCCTGCAGAAAACTCAGGTTAGGTTCCCAGCACCCATATAGGATGGCTCACAGCCACTTGTGACTCCAGCTCCACGAATCTGACACTTTCTTCTGACGTCCTCAGGCTCCTGTACACATACATGGTGTATATACATACGTATAAACACTAAATAAATACATCTTTAAAAATAGGAGCTAGTGGAATTGTTTAGTGGATTAAGATGCTTGTCATCAAGCCTGACAGCCTGAGTTTGATGCCCAGAACGACATGGTGGAAGGAGAAATCTGAGGTTTGCAAATTGTCCTTTGACTTTTATGTGTGATCCATGGCACATGTTCCCCTAATGAATACATGTAATTACATTTTTAGTAATAAAAATTATACTCGACAATATAAGGCTATTTTTATGCAAGTATATAAATATACTTTGAACATACCCCATTTCTCTTCCTCGCTCTCCTCTGTCCAGTTAGTCCCCATTGTTTCCCTAGGCGGATTCTCCACTATCTTATGTTATCTGTTTATTATGACTTTATGTGTCCATCTGAAATCTAAGACAAACAAGTGAGAGAACACATGAAGAATTTGTCTCTGGGACTGACTTAATTTACTTCCCGTTTTTCTACAAATGACATAGCTTCATTCTTCTTTATGGATAAAAAAATTCCGTTGTGCACACAGGCCACAGGGAAACAGACTTTTTCTACATTTACTTATTCACTTGTTTGGGGAGAGGGTATGCTCATGTGATGTGACACTTGGATGGAGGTCAGAGGTCAGATCTTCCCCTCCACTATGTGGATTCAAGGATTGAATCAGGTCTTCAGACTTGGCAGAAAACACCTTGCCCACTGAGCAGTTTTGCCTGCTGGAAGCCAGATATTAAAATGTCCCCAAGGGCATACTTTTTTTTTTTTGAGACAGGGTTTTGTTGTAGTTTTAGAGCCTGTCCTGGAACTAGCTCTTGTAGACCAGGCTGGCTTCGAACTCATAGAGATCTGCCGGTCTCTGCCTCCTGAGTGTTGGGATTAAAGGCATGCACCACCACCGCCCAGCACAAGGGCATACTTTTTAAAAATTATTATTTTTATTTTATGCTCAGTGATACATGTATGTCTGTGTGACGGGGTCAGAATCCCTGAAACTACAGCTACAGATAGGTGTGAGCTGCCATGTGCTGCTGGGAATTGAACCTGGGTTCTCTGGAAAGTCAGCCAGTGCTCTTAACCACTGAGCCATCTCTCCAGTCCCCCCCTCCCCCAGGACACTTTTTTTTTGATTATATACCTCACTTTATTTCTCCCAGAATGCAAATACATTACTTTAGAAAGATGAATATACATTATTATAAACAGTGAATTTTCTTTCAGGATTAGGATAGGCTCAAATTGGAAGCTAACAACTTCTGCAGTACAAATGCAAACATCCTCAGAGGTGGACTGATTTGGGCTTAAACACACTCTTTTGTGTTTAAGTGTGTACACTTAGCTAAAAGGGATGGTGCACTGGAAAACCACACATTCAGAAAACAGTGAAAAAGAAATAGCCCAGCTGGAGTTGTGCACGCACAGTCTGAGAATTAGAAACTGATAGTGTGTGTGTGCTTTGTAGATAGTGCAGTAAAGGACATGTGACAAATTGAGCTGCCATTCAGTTCCCTTTCTCCATTTTATCCTGGCCGTGTCTTCTGCCAGGGCAATGGTCTGCCCACAGTTTTTTTTTTTTTAATTTTTATTTATTTATTAAAGATTTCTGTCTCTTCCCCACCGCCGCCTCCCCTTTCCCTCCCCCTCCCCCAATCAAGTCCCCCTCCCTAGTCAGCCCAAAGAACAATCAGGGTTCCCTGCCCTGTGGGAAAGCCCCAGGACACTTTTTATGAACTTGTTATTGGTGATGGCACGATCTTATTCCTCTGCCATAAATGCCCACTCTCCCTCTGTGCTTCTCATATGTTCTAAGTTAGACTGCCTGCCTATTTTTTGCTGAAGGCCTCTGTCCTCTAGAGTAAAAAAGACTCTGATTTGAATTTTGGCTTTTACCTTCTTTTAACTACATTGATCTGAGAAAGTACTCAATAATAGATGTTCAACAGATGTGTATTGGCTACTTAGCTGGCTGGTTTGTTGGGTGGGTGGATGGATGGATGGGAATAACGAACCTAACAGTGATTAGGCTGACATCTAAGCCAACATGGCAATGTCTGAATCTTACTGTTTTGTTTTTAATAGATGATAATGAAAAAAACTTGTCGCTTGGTCTTCAGACTCTTAGATCCCTGAAGGTAGGCCCGACTCTACTTTTCCTTTGATGCGTCCTCTCAGAGGCAGGGACCTGAGAGTAGCGTCACTGACAAGTGACCAGTGAGGGATCTTCCTTTGTTCTAGTGTATCATAAATTTGGATAAGCGTCGGCTGATCGTTGGGAAGACAGACAAAGAAGAAATCCCTTTCGTGGAGACAGTTTCTTTGAGTGAAGACAAGTGAGTACTGAAGTTGAATCCCTCTGTCATGGGCCGGGGGACTCAGTGTGTGGGTTACAGCCCATCTTTAGTTTTCAGTCTGCCCTTGCTCAGACCAGAGTTCACTGTCCCACAGAACTCTGTAGACTACATGCTATAATAAAAAATGATAGCACATAGAAGAGAGCCAGAAATGAACAGCTTTTTAAGGTGTGTGTGTGTGTGAAACAAAATTTCAGTATGTACCCCAGGCTGGCTTTGAATGCATGAGCTTCCTGCCTCAGCCCCTAAGTGATGGGATTATAGGTATATGCACAAGAAGTTTTTAAGCCAGTTTATTTGCCTTCAGATTAACTTCTTTGAATTTGTTATCAATTCCTTGTTTCTTTCTCATTTCAGCACTTCAGAAGCATAATTGCAGCCCGGAGCGTGTCTGCATGTGCAGATACACCAGTTTGACAGACTGAGAAAATTGGGTTTGAATTAAATGCAGTAGCAACTTGCTATGGACCAAGTCCTTCCCTCCAGTACATCCTGCAGGGGCTTCTTCCCACTCAGACCTTTCTAGACTATAGTCTGTGCTTAGAGATCTTGTCTGGTTAATGGCTTAATGGTTAAACAGCCATTGTTTTTTACTTCTTTGAATATTTAATTTATAGACCCCTTTTGACACTGCCAGGTCTCATTTGTGGCCTATTTCTCTGCTTATTACAAGAATTTGCTTTTATTAGTCCAGTGTAGGGGCTGCCAGGTTCTATTTCTCCACAGATAATGCTTTCTTTAAATAGTAAAATAGATAGTAAATAGGAACCTCTTTTTAGCTATTTCAAAGAGATATAGAAACATGTCTTGAAGTTAGAATCTCTTCTAATGAAGTGATTGATTTTTCCAATGTGACCTGATCTGAAAGATGTCTCAGAGAGATCATCTATGTAGTCCAGACATTTCATTTAAATACACAGACAGGCAAGCGTATCATCTACACTTAGATATTAAGTCAGTGGCAGAAGACAGCCAGAATCAGCCTCACATATAAACCAAGGCTTTGTGCTGCTTCATTTTCCCCAAGCCTTAAGAGGAAGGCAGCAAGGTTAGAGTGCAAAAACAGGAGGGGTCCTGGATGTGGGCTAGTGTTGGAGCGCTTGTCTGGTGCACAAGGTCTGGGTTCAATCTCCAGCACCAGAGGCAGAGAGACGGCTTGGTGATTAAGAGTGTTTGCTGCGCAAGCATGAAGACTGCCGTTTGGATCCCAGTACCCAAACAAAAGCTGGACCTAGTCCTACACACGCCTGTGACCCCAGAACTGAAGGGCTGAAGACAGGATAACTGCTGGGACTTTCTAGCTGCCGGTCTAACTAAGAGAGGGAGAGAAAGAGAGAGAAAGAAAGGCAGGAAGAGACCCTGCCTCAAAGGAACAAAGTGGGGAGTGACAGAGGAATAGAGGATACCCAACATGTCCCTCTGGCCTCTGTGAGCGTGCACAGGTGCACAGCTCCACACCAGGAAAAAATGAGAGTGAGGGGGTGAAAACAGGCTGCAAAGATGAGACAAGTGTCTCACAGTGAACTGAACACGAGAGAAAGAAACTACAGATTGGAAGGGTTATTAGCTCCAGACATACCACTAATAATCTAATGGTTACCATCAGATACTGATTATCCCAAAGAACCAGTCAGAATTTCTGTCTGTCTTGTTACATGTCACAATGATTCAAGTAGCTGGAAAGAGAGGTAGAAAGGAAAACAAAAGCCAAAGTGAGACCAGAATAGGGCGAGGAGACTGAGTACACTCAGTCAGTGGGAAAGCCTACCTGGGAAATGTTCCTGGGATTGAAACCTCCAGGTAGGGAACTGACGATTGGGAAACCCCTCAGTACAAAGAAAGAATGGCAGCTGGCAGTGTTAAGAACCATTAGGGGCTGGGTGTGGTACTTGCCTTTAATCCCAGCACTCAGGAAGCTGAGGCAGAGGCAGGCAGATCCCCGAGTATGAGACTAGCCTGGTCTACACAATGAGTTCCAGGCCAGTCAGCGATACACAGTCTCAAAAGACAAACAAAAGAGAACAAGCTTTATAACTGCCAAGTATTTCCTGACCCATCTCAGTGGTTTGGGGACGTCACAGGGTAGTAGTTGTTGTTATTTTGTTTTTTGCTAGTGTGTCGTCTCAGGCATAGAGGTCTCTATAATGGAATCTCCCCTGCAGTTCAGTTATAGAAGTATTTGGCTAAGTCAGAAAACTATCCAACTGTGAGTATCCCTTCAAGATTTTCCCAAGTCTACCCTTGGCTCATAGCAGTTCTCAGACTTTGAATCTTGTCTAGTGTTCCAGCCATCAGCCTGCCTATGAGCGGCTTCCCACGTGGGAGGACTGTGCCCCTCCCACCGAGCCCTCCCTGCTCTTCTGTTTATCACAGAACCACACCAGTCTGCTTGTTGCAGGACAGAGCAGGAAGAAAGCGCCCCTCATTTCCCTACTTGAGAGTCCACTCCAAGCCTTGACTCTAGGCTGCCAGGGAAGCATACTGCAGGCTCCTTCTAGTGTCTCTTTATTTGGATTTCCCGAGGACCAAGAGAGGCCAGGAATTCTCAGGTTCCTGAAAGATGCAATTGATGCTGGTCCTTTTGAGTTCAGTGCGGTATGACACTAGGGTAACTAGATGACCGTTAGTGTTTCTTTTGGGCTCAAGCATCAGTCAGTGATTTTTTTTTTAATTTGGAAATAGAAACAACTGGGGTAAACTGTACTTGATGTCCTGTTCATTCAGCTTGTAACCAAGTTATTTTTAATTCCCAGGCATAAGAGACGCCTAAAATGCTTCAAGATAAGTATAAGAAATCTTGATATTCATTAATGCTTGTTTTGTTTTTTTGAGACAGGATCTTATTATGTAGCCTTGGCTGACCTGGAACTCAATATATAGAGGAAGCTGGCCTTGAACTCTCATAAATACATCTGCAACTGCTTCCTGTCATTAACACTTTTTAAATGCTGCCAAATTCTCTTACAGCTTCTGTCTCCCCAGTGTTCACAAGGGATACTGGCCTGCTTTTGGGAGCTAGCAAAGTAAGAAGTAAATGAGTTTTTCCTAGTCAGGAATTTAGTGTTCCTAAGGGTGTAAGAAAGTGTCTACTACATCATTTCTGAGTCCCAGGGAAGTAGTAGACATCCCTGGCTGTCCTGGAAGTTGTTCTATAGACCAGGCTGGCCTCAAACTCACAGAGAGCTGCCTCTCATTCCTTAATAGATAGCACATACAGGAAGTGGAAAAAATTACTTTTGATATTTCTATGTCTAGCAATGTCTATGAGGAAAGGATATCTTGACTTTCCTTTTCCTGGCTCTGCACACAGTCCACTAGTATGATGTTGTGTTCCTTAGCTCAGAGCACTATAGATTGGATTACCCAGCTACCCTTGCTCTGTGTAGTAGAAATACCTTTTCAGGCTGGGGACATGGAGGAGATGAGCTGGATTCCTCCCTCCTTCTGTTGCCAGGTCTCTCTGCATTAGCACTTTATCTGCTCAGTGTTTCTGACTGTACTGAGCTTATTTGTGACAATGATGTATCAATAAACTGGAATCTTTCCCTCTGTGTGCTTGTCTGACGGTCTCTGTGCCAGGGTCCCGACCTGGGGGGTGGAGGAGCCAGGGCACAGCCAGACTGCATCGGCCTTCTGCTTTAGGGCCTTCTGGATAGACTAGAGAATCTCACTGAACCTGGCTTTGTGTCTATGAAACAAGTAGAAACAAGTAACTCACAGTGTTAAGTGAGAATATCCAAAGTAAAGTGCTGGGTAGTCCCCCAGCCTTCATGTGTAAGAACAATCTTTTATGTTGAACCAACTGGCAGTGCATGAGAGAACAGTTACTTCTAGAAAAGGAAGTGTTTATTTGGATAACAAATGAGAGAAGTTTGGGCAGGGAAAGGGTCGAATTAACCTTACTATATAATTGTGTCATTAGTTGGTATTCCAAATAAATATTTTGCCCATGGTAGAAACTTACCTTCTAGGGATACATATCTTTTTCATTTTTATTTTAATATGGTTAAGAAGCCCAGCAAGCAGTGTGTTCCAACTGTGACAGTGACTCTCACAGTCTAGACTGTGCCCTGCTGCTCAGGAGGCCCTGCCACTCCACCTCAGAAGATTGCTTCTGCTTTCTAAATGATCCTAATTGTGAAAGATGTCCAAAGTTTCCCAGAGCAGGCTCTTTAACAATGGATGACAAAATCAGTAGTCATAACCACCTCCAGAAATCTGTACAATTATTTAAATAATCTTACTTGTTTTCTCAGAGACTTTTTATTTAGGGTGTGGTATGTTATAAAAGATTAGAACACTAGGGTTAGAAAGCCAGGTGTGGTGGTGCAAACTCCAGGGTTTAGGAGGCTGAGGCAAGAGGATTGTAAATTCAAAGCTAGCATCATAGGAAGACTGTCTCAAAAAGGGGGGGGGGGGCTGAAGAAGGCTGGAGAGATGGGTCAGCAGTTAAGAGCTCTTGCAGAGACCAAGAGTTTGGTTTCCTGCACTCACATCAGTCATCTTACAGCAGCCTAAAACTCCCATCCAGTCCAGTCCAGTCTTCTGGTTTTTATGGAAACCCATGCATGCACATTTACACACACACACACACACACACACACACACACACACACACACACACACACACACACAGAGAGAGAGAGAGAGAGAGAGAGAGAGAGAGAGAGAGANACACACACACACACACACACACACACACACACAGAGAGAGAGAGAGAGAGAGAGAGAGAGAGAGAGAGAGAGAGAGAAAGAGAGAGAGAGAGAGAGTTCTTTAAATGGAGAAAAGACTAATGCTGGGGGTGTAACTCAACGGTGGAGTGACTGGCATGGATCAAAACCCTGGGTTTGATCAACAGCTCTACAGAGAAATAAAAAGAGGGGAAATGGGGGAAGATAAGGTAAAACTATAGCAGAATAAAAGCTGTGCAGTAGGCATGGAGAAATATCAGTTCAGTGTGACGGTCAATGAGGGATTCTGGGAAGATTCCCTCTTAATAAATGGAACACATGAAGACCTGAAAGTAATATCCAGCACTTGGGAGGGAAAGGGGCAGACTATCTCATGTGTTTGGATGTTCTGAGACTACGAGATAAATTATTAATACTTGAATACCAGGCACTTTAGCTTTCATGGAGAAAGAGAAACTAGCTAACTTTATTCTCAAGAGATTGTAGTTATATGCTAATTAGCTATGAATAGTGTATATACATTTATAATAAATATTTACCTTAATAGTATAATATAGGTATATTAGGATAGAGGATGCAGAATTCAAGTTTTCAAAAAGGTTTGAGACTTAGAGTATAAGTGTGTTTTATATGCATACCTGTAATCTCAGCACTTGGGAGGCAGAGGCAGGTGGATCTGAGTTTGAAGCCAGCCTGGTCTACAGAGAAAGTTCCAGGACAGTCAAGGCTACACAGAGAAACCCTGTCTCAAAAAAGAAAGAAAAAAGAAGTAGTAAAATAATGAAATAATACCCCGAAATAACAGAGTAAGAAGTACTAGTACTGGCCTGTAATCCCAGCTACTCAGGAGAGGCTGAGGCAGGATTTCAAATTTAAGGTACATTTGAAATCTGGGCTACAGAGCGAGTCAAGACCAGCCCAGACCATTAGTAGCCCTCATCTCTAAAAGAGGGTTGGCAGAGCCCTGCACTAATATGAACAAGACCCTAGCTAGGTTCAGCCAAACTCCCAGCACCGCCAACAGCAACAGAAGCCACACTGTTTAGAAATATGAAGCTAAACCTCAGAGATGGCAATATAAAAAGGTTTTTTTTATTGAGAATAAGAAAAAAAAAAGTTTCCGCCTCCTCCCAGCCTCCCATTTCCCTTCCCCTCCCCCCACTCTTCTCCTCCTCCCCCCCACTCCTCTCCCCCTCCCTCTCTAATCCAAAGCGCAGTCATGGTTCCCTGCCCTGTGGAAACTCCAAGGTCCTCCCCCCTCCGTCCATGTCTAGGAAGGTGAACATCCAAACTGGCTAGG